TTTGCTGCATACTTTGTATCTCTGCTTGCAAGACAGCCAGCTACTGTCTGATCTTCGCTGCCTGTAGAGAGGCCTGAACTGCCCACTATCTTGCAGCGAAGGTTGCTGCTAGCTTGTCTCTTTCCTGCTGCGTATTCTGTAACTCATTTTGCAACTGTTGAAGCACTTGCTCTAGAGTAGGATTTGGAATTGGCTGCTCTTTGGCTGCTATGGGCTGGTCCTCTGCCGCAGGCTCTTCTACATCTTGATTCTCTAGAGCGCTAGCATAGGTGTTGCGGATGTTGCGCCTAGGTCTACCCCTTGCCACGGGCTTCGTAGGTGCCCTAGCGGAGGCTCCTCTTTTTCTTGCCATCATGGGTTTTGCTTGGCCAACACACGGTGGGCGCCAATGTTGGAAAAGTAGGATTCCAGCTAAATAAGAGAATGAAGCCTTCGCCTGGGTGGAGGCTTCGAGCAAAGGTGGTGAGACAGGTGGGCCCGGGCACAATTAGAGTTTCATAAATGCATTCACCAACCAACCTCCTTTACATAGGGTCTGACTCCCCTTTTATAGGGCACTATTCACTAGGGTACCACTTTACATATTTGCCCTTTGATAGCTAAGGCATATTCTCATTAATATTTTGGTACAAGCATAGTCTACCGGGGGCAGCTTTGGTTTCCTCTGTCTACACCACCTTTGCTCCCTGGGCTTTTAGCTGCAAGCCCATTAGCGGCCTGCTAGTGCCATAAGGCTTCATCCTTGAGCATGTGGAGGCTCCCTTGTGCCGGTCAGAATCTCCGCTTTGAACGCCTCCGGCTCTGCCTTGCAGCCCCCTTGAGCTAATCGGACCTTCGCCCTCATCGCTCGGCCTTCACGCTATTCTTGGCTGTTGACCACCGTCTCCAAGGGCCTTTGCCGTCGCTCCTATGTCTTCGCCCAGCCGGAGGGTGCTGGCGAAGGCTCGTCCCTAAAAGACCTGCAAATCGCATATCTCACAACTTCATCAGTTTCTTTGGTTAGAGCGTAGGCTAGCCTCCGCGGCTTATATGTCTGTGTCCCAACATTAGTAATTATGATGGTAGGATTAGTTTTGATTAGTGCTAATACGTTGATTAGTGCATGTATCGTGTGCTAATTAGGTTACTAATGGTGCTAATTACCATATTTATTTTAAATTGGTGATTATCATGATAAAATTAGTATTAGTGCATATTTAATAGTGTCTAATTAGTTATTATTATTTTAAATAATATATATAATTAGTTAACTATTCTTATTCCATCTACTTTCATCCATCAACCAAATAGAAAAATACCTTATTTTATTTATTCAACCAAACATACATTATGGATATTCTTATCCCGATATTCATAGATCGCTATATGCCATACAACTTTGTCAGCATGGCTAAACAGCGAATGCTCACCCGATATCATACGAGCGAATAATTTTTTGACATATATAAGTTCCTTCTCTAGAAAAGAATTCCACCTATTACCCTATTTGGTAGTACTCAACAGCGAGGCACTCCTTCCGTGCGCACACGGCTACAGGCTGGATATAACGTCAGTGTTGACGCAGGCGGAAAAAAAAATGAAATATTTATTATAAATTGCTATAACTTCTGAACGTCGTATCCATTTTCAATTCTGTCTGATATATTCTACGCGATGAGACGAACAAAACTAGGCCCCACTTACATATGTTTCGGAGAAATTTTTTTCTAATAGCAAACTAATTTATAACATATAACTTATAACCAATACTTAGAAACACAAAGTTATAGAACACAACTTATCTAAAAAAAATTATCAAACGTAACTTGTGTACATAAGTTATCATATACAATTTGTATACATAAGTTATTATATACAACTTAGATGTACAAATTAATATTATAACATATTAGCAGATGCATTGGTAACATGCATAAAAGGAAAATTGATAGACTACTATAAAAAGTAAAAAGAGAAAAAACTAAAAAAAAATGTGTTTCATAATTTCTATACTTCCAAGTTTTAGCATAAGTTATAAGTTATATGGTGATAAGTTTTGCAAAGTGTTATATTGTCCAAGTTATCAGTATAAGTTATAGAAATAAGTTATGTCCTCTAACATATATGTATAACTTAGTTACTTTCTAAAATGGAAAGTTACGGAAATTATCTATATCTAGTAATAAAGATGCAAAATTTCAATCTTTTTCCAGCTGACCCATCTAATTTGGTTGAACTGTCTGGTCGACTCGCTTTGTCCACTTCAAGCCCACTCGCTTGGCGGCCCACTCCAGCCACGTGCGCTCGCGTCCGGCCCAGCAGCAGCCCACTTCAGCGCGCATGCGGGGGAAAAGCCAAAATTAGTATGCCACATGGGGGATTCGAACTATGGTCTCCACACCTCCATTACCAAAGGCTTACCTCCACTCCATACAATCTTAGGTGAATTCTTATGAAGTTGTTTTTATTTATCGCTAATAACACCTTCAAGCTTTCTACAAGAAAACACTCTTATGGTTGGCAAGACAAAAAAAACTATGAAAATGTCGTAGTTTACATGAAAACACTCTTAAGGTTGCAAGACAAAATAAATAAATAAATAAAGCTATGAAATGTGGTATTAAATATATTAGAATAATCTTGCATATATTATATGTAATAATGTTGAAATATGTCCGCTATTAGACTTGTCATTTTACTTTAGATATGACGCAATGGAATCCAAGACGTATGTTTCAACTCCTGAGTCCAAGCGTTGCACGCTATATGCAATGAGTTGTGTTAATGTCGGAATCAAATTTCTCTTTGAGAATCATAAGAGAGGAAAGAAAAGATGAGAAAGAAAAATCGGCCTTTGTTCCAAATCCAGCAGAAGAGGAGGTGGAAATCAAATAAAAAAAGAACGCAAGATTTTTCATATGCTCTAGCTCCTGAGTCTAGGCGTTGCACGCTACTTGCAATGACATGTGTTTACGTCGCAATCAAATTCCTTCTTGAGAATCATAAGAGACGAAAGAAAAGAACAGAAGGAAAATCGGCCTAAGTTCCAAATCCAATCGAAGAGGAGCCGGAAATCAAATAAAAAAGAACGCAATATTTTTCTACCCTATTCTCAATTTCAGAGTATACTCCAATCAAAATTGATTGAAGCACTGGAGCTCTTTTAGGCTGAAAGGAGCTCCTAGAAACACACGTTTGAAAATAAAAATCGAACTTATCTTCTCTCCTATCAATAAAAAAAACAAAAATTCCCTCAGGCAGATCACAAATATAATTTAATAGAAAAAAGTACAAGCCGACTATCATGTCAGGTGATTAGATATGCAGCAAATTTACAAATCAATTTGTTAGTTGAGTAGATTTGCAACAAATTTAACAAATTAATTTGCTAGTGGATTAGATATGCAATAATTTTGATTTCTACCTCAAACTGTATCGTACTAAACATGGCAGCAATGCAACAAATACACATAGAACTGTATTCTTTTTTGGAGGAAGCGAGTACTTTGGTGCAATTTGATAAATCGATGGCGTGTTTGAGGTACAAATTAAACAAAAGCTGAATGATTCTGTTGCAATGTATGAATACATTTACTTTTTTTTAATATTAAAGGAGGATATTTATTGTCTGACATTGCTCATAACTATCTATAGGGATCTGACGGACCAAATCTCTCTCGTGACTATACGAGTTTGGGGTCAGGGGTGTATGGTTGCTCCTCCTAAATGTTAGTCGCTGTCCTATTGGATGTTTGATAAATGTATGAAGTATTAAATATAAACTAATTACGAAACTAATTACATAGTTTGCGACTATTTTGCGAGACGAATCTTTTAAGCCTAATAAGTCCATGATTTGATAATGTGGTGCTACAGTAAACGTGTGCTAATGACGGATTAATTATGCTTAATAAATTCGTCTCGTGAAGTACTGATGAATTATGTAATTTATTTTTTTATTAATATCCGAACATCCCATACAACATCCTCACATAACACCTCCTAAATTTTAGTCACTGGATTCAAATACCCCTTAAGTGACATGTTCTTTCCGGTGAATAATCACAAGATTGGATTTGGACAACTTCATCCTCGAACCGAACAGAACCCTGGCCGAAGACGAGGCGAGCATTCATCCAACGGACAACAACCAAACGTGCCTAGGTAGACCCCGCCACTTAGAGCAAGCTCAACGTATAATGGACCAACTGGTCTATATATGTGGGCCCTTTGTTAGTGGGCTATAGTTGTTTTCAGTTACTCCACAATGTTCAGCCTGTTTAGATGGGGCCCATAGGAAATAAAATAGACATACAAAGCCCAACAAGAGTTTCTATCTCTCTCATGATCTCTTCTTTCTCTCCCCATGCACAGTCGTCGCCAGTCGTCGTCCGTCCACGCGTCTCAGTTTGCCTCCACCCCTCCCTTCCTCCACGCCCAAATCGGTCGTCCTCCACCGCAAATCAGTCGTCCTCTTCTCGAACCATCCTTTATCTGCCCCTCCGTCGGCATGCAAACTCCTAGACCTCCTCGACCGATGCGGATGAGGCCGAGGAAGGGCACGCGACGGGCCCCTGCCCTCCGCCAGCACTAGCAAGGTCTCAGATCTCCTGCGGTGTTTGAGCTCCGACGATCGAACTATGTCTGGTCGTGGGCACAAAGGGAAGGAGAGAGAGAGAGTTTATTATTTATTTATTCTTATAGGCTAGCTATAAAATATGGATACACTTGGACAATTTTTTTTCCCTTATGGACCGGTTTCAACATTGTGGTTGCTCTTGCCACGAGAATCCAGTTCCTCAACACGAGCGTTGTCGTTATTTCAACTGGTGGGCCCTGTCGTGCATGTACCCACGTGTCATCCAATGACGCTGTTCTGTGCCGTCCCATCTGGCCTTCTTTTCCAAGCACTTATAGCAATTAGCACGCCCCTGCCCCTCCAGAGAGCTGCAGGCTGCCCACTACGGAGTACGCACGGTGGCGTCCTCGCCGAGAAAGCACCATCGCTCCGGTCCGCGCCCATGGCCCCCACCGCTGTGGATCCCGATCCCACCGACCACCTCCTAGCGCCGGCGCCGGCGCCGGTTGCCGTGGCTGGAGGAGGGGTTGGCGGTGATGGACCGCTGGAGGTGGTGATCAATGTGAGCAGCAGCGACACCGACTCCGATTCCCCCGGCGCCGGGGGTGGGAAGAGGTCGCGGCCCGTGGCGGGACGTGGTGGCGGCAGGGATCGAGAGGAGAAGAAGGCCAGGATCTTGGCCGCTGCCGCCACGGTCCCAGCCGGCTTCCTGGAGCCGCTTCCGCCACCACCGGTGAAGCTACTCCCTCCGCCGGCGCCGGGAAGGAGCGTGACGAAGCAGTTCTGGAAGGCCGGAGACTATGTTGGCAAGTCGGATCACCTGCTTGCGGTCGAGGCGGCGCAGCATTCTGGTAACAGCTCGCAACATTATCTGCATCATTGTTCCCTCCGATGGGTGGCGAAGAAAAGTCTACTGTAGTAGGAGCTGGGCTACTGAACTGCATGTCGTTTTTTCGGGAAAATAACTAAAGAAAATATGTTTGTCTATTCCTTCTTGGATATTCTTCTGAGCATGCACATATTTTTCATGACACGCTCTGATCTAAGGTGTTCTGTCTTTGCTTTATATATCTTACCTTCGATATGACCTTGACCATTCAGTTGTTCTGTCTTTGCTATCGTCAGATTCTGGAATGGATCATGTTCGTGTGCATCCCAAATTTCTACATTCCAACGCGACAAGCCACAAGTGGGCACTAGGAGGTACCTTCCATTTCATGCATGCCCAAGCAGCGAGGCATTTTTTTATTTTATTTTTGGCTCCCTTGCCTTGTTGGCTATAACTGCTGCTAGATTATGATGCCTTAGTTGATTTCACAGCTTTCGCCGAGCTGCTGGACAACTCTCTTGATGAAGTATGTGTGCTTGACTGAAATGAAGATTCAATTTCTTCAGGTCTAAGGTGTTGTTTTTCGGGCCTTGTGTGCTTACCTTGTAGATGTTTGTTTGCAAGGTTGTGAATGGAGCGACATATGTGCGCATTGACATGATGGAAAGTAAGAAGGATGGAACTCGAATGCTCCTTATTGAAGGTGCGAGGAAACCGTCCCATCTTGCATGGGCGACTTGGCATGCTTTCATGAACTGATTGCAGAAGTTCCTTTTAAGAATATATTGGATGTGTTTCTGTTGTGCTCATGCTATATTTCATAGCATGCTTTTGTGCTAGAGTTGATTGTAACAACTTCGCTATCCTTCACTCCAAAAGTAAATCATAGTGTCATTGGATCCTAGCATTTTCTTTTTCACAAAATGTGCTTCACTGAAGGTTACAGATGTAGTGATAACGTTGCTCATCATTGTCTATCTCCTACCTCATTTAATTTCATTTTGAATTGTTGATAGACAATGGCGGGGGGATGAACCCAGATAAGATGCGTCATTGTATGTCCTTGGGTTATTCTGCGAAGAGCAAAGTCAAGAATACCATTGGACAATGTAAGTTGATTGTTTTGAATCCCGTTTGTTATCTTCTGACCACAACACAACACAACACAGAGATTCAGTTTGCTTACTCTGCTTCTTTGCAGATGGAAATGGTTTTAAGACAAGTACGATGAGACTTGGTGCTGATGTCTTGGTGTTTTCACGTAGTCGTGGTATTGAAGGAACAAGGTTGTCTTCATTCCTTGAAATATGGTAGAAATGTATCTTTCTCATCACTAAGTTTGTGTTGCCATGCACACTGGCCATCCCTGGGTCGACCATGCTAATTTAGCATTAGAGCTTTCATAACAAGCAGGCTATACATTTCTCTTCAGCTATGCACTTTATAAGATTTCTTAATTCATTTTCCTTGCAAAGCCGACAATGACATTTACCCTCCTTCCTTTTGTTCGCATGAAGGCCTACACAAAGTGTTGGGATGCTATCATACACCTTCCTAAGGAGCAGCAACAAAGAAGATATCATTGTTCCTATGGTAACCTTGATTTCACCATTGCTTTATTGCCTGCATCATCTTTATGTTGGTGATATTTTTTATTGCTTTAATAGTGGTTTCTCTTGTCAACACTTTAACTTTGAGTTAGATGATTTTGTTTTGTCAAATATGAATAGTTTACTAGGTGATTGGGATACCGCCAAGTTTGGGTTCAGCCAAAATGATATCATGAGTAAACCAATGTGGATGGATTATTCTTGCATCGCTTATTGAGGGTGTAATGTAATATAATATGTAACTCAATGTTCCAAATGTAATTAACCATCTGAACCAATCCTTTTAAGTGAAGAGTGCAAGCAGGGTTGTCACATGTGCATAGTTTGTGGGGATGAGCTGTAATGGCATGTAGTATGTCCAAAAGTTAATTAATAGGATTTATGCATTTCTTAGCTGTATCAAGGCCTTGTCATCCATCTTTCTGCCACATTTATGCATTTATTAGCTATATCGAGGCCTTGTCATCCATCTTGCTGTCACATCAAGGCCCTGTTTCGGTCTGTTACACTCTAAAACTTCACAGTGGGTAGGCTCGAGAGGTGTACCAGTTTGTGATGAAGGGAATGGACCTAGTCACTTGGATGACAAGGGAGCAGAGCATAGGAAGAGTGACAGGCTTGACGACCAACACTGGGGCTACAGATGTGGCTGTGCAGGTGCTCAAACAACTGATGAGGGCAAGCCAACAGAGAGCATGTGCTTTGGGGATACCGAGCCAACTGGATCTGGCCCAACCTCCACGGCACTGAGTGTGCCCTGCTGAGCGAGTGGTTGCGGTCCCGCATCAGTATGACGACTTTGCGGATGGAAGTGAAGTGATGCTGACCGGTGGTTCCTCAGTGGCAAGGAGTGCTATGGCTCGGTCAATGGTGGAGGGTAAGAAATAGGCTAGGGGCACTTAGGCAATTATTCAATAATACTAACGTGCAAACTAGCTCTAATGGTGACTTAGTCAATGGGTTCCACTTAAATGGCATATTAAGCTAAATTTTCGATGGCTCATAAGGGATCAATATAAGTTTAAGTAGCATACAAGGGATTTTCTCCTGTTGCTATCATGCATCATGAAGGGAACAATTCCACTCAAACAAATAAACAAACAACAATTATTCCAATGTGACCAACACTGCTTCTCTAGCTATAATGAAGAATCTCCACCTTAGTAGTACAAGAAGCTAAATGATGGTGATATTGGTGACCAACGTAATGATGATACGTAGGTGGAGGTTGACATGGATGGGGAGCACAAGAACAACAATAAGCAAGGCGCCAGCGAAGGCGGCAAGGCACACTGAATTGTGGCTGTTCTTCTATACTCCTGGGCTGCCTTGATGTCGACGGTGCCCTGACAAGATCAGCACCTCGATTTTGAAGGGGTGGGGGATGGAGTCCTGACCAGGCCGCCAGTTCCCTGCGCGATGGCTGTGGGCGCCAGGGAGCCATGGGTGTTGACAGACAGAGGGACTGCGGCAGATCCATTTTGCACGCTCTGAGAGGAAGTGGCAGCCAGAAACAGAGGGGCAGCACCAGGGCTTTCATACCTAAACTCCTGTGCACGAGGGACCAAGGTCAGGAGGAACAGCTGAACAGATTGGTCTGGGTGGGTAGGGAGATAGGAAAATAAGATCTTGGAGCACCTCCTTATCTTCACCAAAATGAACTAGGAGGCTTCCAGTTCTATGATGCTGGCTGCTTCAGAAATCGGTGGAGTTGTGGTGTTTAGGCGTTTGGGAGGGAGTCATGGAGTAGAGCAGTCTAAACAGGCCCTAACTTGTGTGTTCCTTTTTTTTCGGTGTAAAGTGATGAAGTTAGTGAATTGGACATGAGCTTTCACTAATGCAGTGATGCTTGTACATAACCCCGCAGATTGACTATGAAAAAGAAAAGGAATGGAAAAGGAAGGCACGGACAACATTGACTGATTGGTGTATGAGCTTAGAGACGATAATACAATGGTCTCCTTATTCCACAGAAGCAGAACTTATTCAGGAGGTATAGTTGATGTAATTTGATGGCTGTAAATGTAGCTGTATTTTCAACTATTTGAGGTTTCCTGTTGTCATGATTTCTGCTTTGGGAATAGTATACACTCATTTCTAGTGGAGGCATTTATGTCTTCTTGATGCCTGTATGCTGCTTATCTGTAGTTTGGCTCCATAGGGGAACAAGGAACTCGAATTATTATATACAATCTGTGGGAGGATGATGAAGGAGAGCTGGAGCTTGATTTTGATGCTGACACAAATGTAAGTGTCAAACTAGTAAGTAATTAGTTCATATTGACACAAACGTAGTCTGCTACCTTATTGATGCTCAAATTGCAGGATATTCAGATTAGAGGTGTTAACAGAGATCAGAACAAAATCCAGAAGGCAAATCAGTTTCCAAACTCCAAACACTTCTTTACTTATAGACATTCTCTAAGGGTAAGTTTTAGATGTACTTATGCATTTGTGCCAGTCAGTTTTTTCTATATTCTGTGAAGCAGTTATTCCAGTTGTGTCCCAATCAATATTTGTTCCATGACTGAATATTTGGTCCACTGTATAGCATTTTACTGCACTGTGCACGCAGTCACAAAGAAAATTGGAAAACTTTATATGAAGACCAAATCATGAACTGAAACGAGTGATATAGTTCTGTAAGCCCTAAATATTGATTCTTTTGTGCAGAGTTATGCATCAATTTTATATCTTTTGCTCCCGGAGAACTTCGAAATGATTTTACGGGGAAAAAAGATTGAACACCATAATATTATCAATGATCTCATGCTAAAGAAGCAACTTACTTATAAACCAACAGTGGGCGATGGACTTCCAAAGGATATGCATGTAAACCAATGAGCTTTGTCTCACAGCTTTCTGTATAATGATGCATATGCATTGATCTCATAACATGTTATGTTCCCTCATCTCTCAAATTTTCAGATGGCAGCTAAGGTGACAATTGGTTTTGTTAAAGATGCGAGACAACATATTGATATTCAAGGGTTTAATGTTTACCACAAGAATCGCCTAATAAAGGTATTCTGTTAGAAATGTCATGTGTGATGTTTTTTAAAGGAAAATAACAGGGGAGACCCGCTGCTGAAGTAGGTATATTATAATAAATAGGGGGGAAAGGTAACAAAATTTTCTCAATGAAATGTTTTCTTTGCATTTTTTTCAGTTTGCAGAATGACTTCCTGTGTGCACAGAGATTACAAAATTCATAGCTAAGTAGTGGATGGTTCACAGAGTGTTTTTGCATGAGCAGGCACCATTATACTTCCTTACTTAAAAAGGCCTATAGTTAACCTTTTTTTTCTCATTTTCTTTCTTCTTAGCGTGTAATGCCAGGTACTTGTTAAGAATGTTGATGTGATCATTTTAGGCAAAATTTTCTGCAACTTGAAAATGTTTTTAAGAATTTATGATTAGTATATTTATTTCTTTTAGCCTTTTTGGAGAGTATGGACTGCTGCTGGTAGTGGCGGCCGTGGTATCATAGGTATGAAATCTTGTTGCTTTTTTTCTTTTTAGGGTATGGTATTTTGGTATGTCTGTGATTGTTCTTGTATGCAGGTGTACTTGAAGTAAATTTTGTGGAACCAGCTCATGACAAGCAGGACTTTGAACGCACGAATTGCCTAGCAAGACTCGAAGCACGATTAAACCAAATGCAGAAGAAATATTGGTCTGTTTTGTTGTCAGTTGGCAATGCCCGTTCTGTGGCCAACTAGCACATGCTGTAGAAAATCTTGTCTAATCTTAGTATGCATTTGTTTTTTCAAGGTCTGAAAATCGCCATCGAATTGGCTATGGAATCAATGATGCTAGCACAGATTTTGGAAAAGGAGAAAGAGGTAGGTTAATGTTCTTGTTTTGTGCATTTGGTTGGTGTGAATGGGTGCATGTTTTATTTTTATCCTGAGATAATCAATAACCTAATAAACAAAGTGGTTTGGAAAGCTGTGGATGGGTGCATGTTTTATTTTTATCATGAGATAATCAATAACCTAATAAGAAGGGCGGGCCTGGTGCAAGCGGTAGAGTCTTACCGCCTGTGACCGGAAGGTCCCGGGTTCGAGTCGCGGTCTCCTCGCATTGCACAGGCGAGGGTAAGGCTTGCCACTAACACCCTTCCCCAGACCCCGCACAGAGCGGGAGCTCTCTGCACTGGGTACGCCCTTTTTTATAATCAATAACCTAATAAACAAAGTGGTTTGGAAAGTCTAGGCATGGATATCTTTCTGGATCACTTGCGCTCACCACGTTTCACCTGTCGTACACATCAGCCCAGGTGGTTATTTTGAGGTGTTACCATCTATAGTCATTTGCATTCTGCATCTTCATGACACGAACATGCAAAACTGGTTTTCCCTCGATTCACTTGGTTTCGTACCAGTGGAATACCAAATGATCATCATGCAGCATCACCCAAATAGTTTTTGACATTTCTGTTACACACCAATGAATTTATGCAATATACAATGCAAGAGTACCATTGGTACCAATACATGATGTACCAAATTTCTAGTTATAATTTTGGTACCTCTTGTTCTGTTTCCAGGGACTGTAAAAAAGGCTCAAAATATTGGTCACTGACTCACTTCCCTTGGAGAAAATGTAATATCAAAAGCTTAGCATTATGTAAATAGTAGATATGCAGCACCTTTTCCCTTTTGAAATCATACTAATGGAAACTACGAAAGTTTAGTTGATGGCTTAACATTGGCCAAGTTTGCACTACTGAAAAAATAGTCCTTTCATTGAGGAATTAGAGGCTACATATGCCATTACATATGGTTCATGCAAAGACTATTGTAAAAGACAGCGGATAGGCTTGCTAAGAGGGACCTCTCTCATCTGGATAAATGCCCACTACCCGATCAAGAAGATGAGATGATACAACATCCTTTAACAACGTGTGTTGTGGCAAGACAAGTATGGTTCAGATTGTTCAATCCTTTGGACCTAGCAGATTCAGTCTCTTGACAAAATGAACAGACCTTTGCAGATTGGTGGCGCAAGACGATGAGAAGAGTTAAAGAGGAGCTCAAAAAAGGAGTGAACACTCTAGTTTTACTCGGCGCCTCGATTATATGGAAACATAGGAATGCATGTGTGTTTGAGGGGTCATCTCCTTCAGTTAACACGATTTTGAGTGAGCTGAAGGACAAGCACAGCCTTTGGTGCATGGCTGGTGCAAAGAATCTGCAAGGGCTAGAACTTGCGATTGCAACCTAGGTCAGATAGGTCTAGGTTGAGCCGTGTTTGTTCGCTGTGTATGAATCATGAGACTGTAAAAGCCTCACTCATATTTGGTCCCTGTATGAGTGAGGATCCTGTTGGCTCCCCCCCCCCGCCCCCCCCTGTCACCTCTCTAATATAATGAAACACAGCTATCCTGCATTTTCGAAAAAAAATGCAAAGACTGTTGTTGGATTAAGTCAGTTTTTCCTCAATTGGGACATATAGTTCAGCTGATGATAATCTGCATGCAGGACTGTCACCACGTCCATTTGGGAAAGGTTCCTTGAAGTCAGGTTACTTGCAAAGGATCAGAAGTGCTGACAGATCATCTTCAAGAACAATATCCCAGCAGAGAGCTGAAAAGTCTGCAAATACCATAAGACCTGAAAGATCAGTTTTGCATGGTTTGTCAGATACAGGTGGTGGTGGCAATACTGAGATTGCCGGCGCCCCATCCAGATCTACTTCCCCTATCCTAAGGACACCTGAAAAATCTTTCCGTAAAGTGAATACAAGTTTGCCACCTTCTCCCAATGGAGTAAAACGAAGCGAGAGGATTGCTGCCAAATGCCAATCAAAGGTAGTTTCACTGCCCCTACATTTTTAGCTCGAATATGCAGGATATATGCTTATTATGATTAAAGAAGAAAAATATGGTATAGAACTAGTTCAAACCCTTCTCACTGCTAGCATCTTTTGCTTAAACTGTACTCGGTGATTATTAAGTAAACCATGGCACATGCTTGCATGCCAGCAGCCAGCCTATTTTTCTATGCCTAACATATAGTCATGTGTTTGTTTCTTTCTGGAAGGCAAGGGAATGAAAGTTGTTCAGAGATCTTGGTTGCCTTGGAGGGGCTAGAGGAGCTTAGTATGCTTTTTAATATATTTAGCCTGAATTATGTTCCTAGAGCTGGAAGCTTTGTGTACCTCACTTTTCCCAGCATGCTATGAGTTGTAAATGCAGGGCTGTGTGATCTGATGCAAACCCATAGATCAGGACGAATGTAATTTGCTCCATGATGAATTTATACTAAGCTGTGTGATGCTCTCAACACACATGAAACTATGGAAGGACGAAGCAGATTTTGTAAAGTATATCATATATTGAAGTAAGAAATTATAGATCCTTTTTGAAAAGAAAATTTACTCCTGTTACTCTGAATAAATGCATTAATGTCACTTACTTGATCTGAAAATTTCTAGTTGTTTATGTAGTGGTACTGGCATAAACTGATAACTAATAACTAATGGATCACTGGTTGCAATTTGCGAATTGCTTTTGTTAATTCTTGAATTAGAAATTAATCATTTATCATATTTTCTTGTCTCTGCTTTCCAGGAAGTAAATGTAACAACTAATGGAGACGGGGAATCCATTATGGACCCTGAAGCTGTCATCAAGAAATTGAAGGAAGAAAATTCATCGCTAGAGGAGAGGTACATATTAGAAATGTTTATCCACTTTTAATCACTCAAAATCTAGTCAGACCTTCCCCTTAATTTGGTTAAGGTTCACTGGTTGATTATTATGTTTGTCGTTCACCTCTCATGTATTAACGACATAACTTTGGCTACTACCTCCATTTCAAATTTTAAGCCTTTTTAGTTTTGTTTTAAGGGTCCTCCTGGGGGGAGGGGGTGGCGGCTATGGTGGAGGGGTGGTGGCTAGGGTTGGCGGCGTGGGAGAGGGGGATGGCACAGGGAGCGGGAAGGCGGCGGCAAGGAGAGAGGAGAGGGATAGGGAAAGGAGCAATTGCTCTATTCTTGCTTAGAATAGATTGATTACATCCTCCCTATATTTGTAGTCCCTATAGGACCTGTGTTCCAAGCAACTATGGGAGATATCCTTATAGATTGGATTTTCCTTTCCTAAACAAACCAAACTCTTAACATATTAATTCTCCTAGTCAAATCTCTTTCGGACGGAGGCGGCAGCGAGGGCGTCGACACCCCTCCTCTTGGCGCGCGCGACCCCCCTGGGGTGCGCTGGAACCGGTTGAGACCGGCTAGCGCCCTCCTTTGGGCCTCGCTAGGCCCATTAGCTCTAGGTTGGGGGCCTCTCATTAGATGTATGACATCACCCCCCTTCTCCACTCAGCGCATCCTCGCGCTAAAGCAAGGCCCAGTCGTTGACGCCATCGGGTGGGAATTCCTGTCCTAGCAGAATGGCCTCAATGTGAGCAAGGAGACGACCACGGACTGGGTTGGCTCGAATCATGTTGTCCCGCGTGCGCTCGGGTACGAACTCCATGTAGTAGAGGAGGTTGCTGATGTAGCTGTAGAAGTAGTAGCTGTATGGTCTAGCGCCCCCTCTTGATCCTGCCGTCTGGCGTGCTACCACGAGGAGAGGGTGATGAATCGCGGTGTCGATGGCGAAGTGGAGCATCTCTCGTGGTGGAGCGATGAAGTCGTGGATCCTGTTGGCGATGGTGGGGACGATGTAGGCTGGGACTCGACGCCAGATCGTAGTGCTGGAGCGTGTAGATGGCGTCGTCGTCAGGTCCAGCATGGTGCCGAACATGAAGTGGCCCATGTCGAATCTCGTCTGGTGAGAGGCGATGTAGGTTGGAGTCGGGGCGTAGAGCGATGTAGATGTTGACGTGGATGAGCTGGCGACCCAAGTTGTCGATGAAGATCACCGTGGTGTCGACACCGTGCCCTGTGGCCATGGGCGCCCTAGCAGAATGCTTGTGGGGGCGCATTATGTTGGGGTGCCGTCGGGGGTGGGGTGCTCGGTTCATGATGTCGCGAGGAGGTGAGGGTGGAGCTTCACGTGGTGCCCTCCTGATAGGTGGAGCTGGCAAGGCGAGGACGTTCGGCGGTGCACATTGATGTAGGACAGTGGTGAAGGTGATGGGATGACCGTTGCGGTAATATTGGAGCTCCATGGTGGAGAAGTCCCATGTCAGGCGTCCAAGGCCGGCCAGCAATGGCGTACCCAGGATGATGTCGATGTCGTTGCCGATGTTGAGGAGAAAGGCGTTGATGTAGAGGATCTCCGCATCAATGCGGAGTGGGACGTTGAAGGATGCCGCCCGACACGAGACCTCGTTGCCGCTGCCAACAAGGATGGTGGTGTCGATGCGCTGCTCGAGGAGGCCGATGAGACTTGCGACGTTGATGTCGATGATGTTGTGCGTGGCGCCTGTGTCGACCATGATGTGGACGCCAGTGCCCGACACCACTCCTGCAAGGTACAAGGGGGGGGGGCAGCCACGAACCATGGACTGTGGTACCGATCATCATGAGGAGGCTGTTGTCGACGTCATCGGTGTCGTAGTCGTTGATGGCTGTGATGTCGAAGAGGTGCTTGCACTTGTGGCCGCAAGTGAAGGGTTCGTCGCAGTTGAAGCAGAGTCACGATCGGCGGCGTTCCGCCATCTCCTCGGTGGTGAGGTGCTTGATTGGGCGCGGTGGAGCGGCTGGTGGTGCGCCTGGTGTAGAAGCCGGTGTCGGGGTTGTCGATGGGGGCGCCTTCAGAGCCAACGGCCGAGTGGCCGGCTTGGTGGCCGGTGATTTGTTGGCATCGGAGATCACCGCTAGCCGTCGCTCATACGCCCTGGCGAGGGACATGGCCACCTCCTTGTCTTGCAGGTTCTGGAGCTCGACGTCCGTCTTCAGCAGCTCGAGGAGCCCGGCGGTGTAGGTGTTTAGCTGTTGCTCGTCCAGGGCCCAGCGCAAGCCGCGTGCGCTAGGAAGCGCTCCGTATAGTCGTTGATGGTGCCAGTCTTGCGCAGGGACGCGAGCTCGCCCAATGGGTTGCGTCGGGTAGGGGAGCCGAAGTGCTCGTTGACGCAGCGGGCGAAGTACGCCCAGTCCGTCACCGCCTTGTTTTCCGTGAGGTGCATGTACCACTGTTGTGGGCCACCTGTTAGATGATAAGATGCATACCAGACTTGCTCGGTTTCTGGGGTCTTTTGGCTCCTTAAGAATTGCTCACAGCGATTGATCCATGGCAATGGATCCTCCTTGCCGTCGAACGTGGGGAACGACAGCTTGTGGATGCATGGCGTCAAGACGGGGAAGGAGCCCGATGGTGTCCCGGGGTACGGGCACGGTGGCGGGAGGTTCATCTTGGGCGCCTCTGGCTTGTTGAGGTCGTCGAAGAGCTTGCCCTCCTAGTCATCTACAATCTTAGGGATTGCGGATGACGTTGCTGATTCCTTCTGCTCCTTGAGGAAGGCTCGGCCGGCTTCCTCCATGGCACGCTTGGCGTCAGCCTCCAGCTTGGTGGCGGCAGCCTCACGCTCGCGTTGGGCGCGAGCTGTAGCGGCGGCCTCATCCGTTTGGCCTCCTTGTTCGATGTTCCTCAGGCGGTCGTTGATGTTGTCGAACTGCTCCTTGACGGAGTCGAACTGCTTGTGGAGCTCTCTGCACTGGGTACGCCCTTAAAAGAGAGGCTCTTTTATTGCTCAGTATTCATACTACAATCTTGAGCAATAATTTACTCGATACAAGCTGGCACTGTGTGGCGTCAAACGGCCGAACTATTTGGTCTCAGAACCAGTTGTGCGAGCTCATGGGCAGCACGATTTCCCTCTCTTCTCGTGTGGACTACTTTCCACTCAAACATGAGGCTCCCGGCCTGTCTCGCCTCCTCCGCTATTAGGCGTAGCTGTCCTCGGTCCCTCGTCGAGTTCTTCAGTAGAGCCTGGACCGAGCTGCAGTCAGTCTCAAGCACCGCCGGGGTCTCAGATTCTTCAGCAGCATAACGAGGCCCTTCCCTGCCGGCCAGCGCCTCCACTTCTTCAGCGTTCCTGGTTCCCGGCGCATCTCGCCAGGCAGCAAGGAAGACTGCAGCATTGTGGTCCTACAGCGCCTGTTGACCTACAGAAAGCACCATCAACATTCACCTTCTGCCATCCCAGATCAGGCCTCTTCCACGGGCATGGCTGTCATCTCGCCTTGGCCACCCGCCCTGCATACAAAGAAGTACATACTGGTTGTTTGCCAAAAGGGAAAACTATATCTTTATTTTGCCTGATATTACACAGTTCCGTCCAATAACGCTTAAGGAAACGAATGGACCCCTCAATGGAGAAGCTACGTGATTCATGGGTGATATCGTTCCTCACTTGCCAAGTTCGCCACAGAAGCATCAGGCATCTTGCTCTCGTATCCCTTTCTGCCTGCATCAGAAAAACCAAAAAATTGAGATGGTCAATATTGAGGAACTGTTCCTCATCCGGCAACGTCCAGCGCTCTCTCATTGCCATACGAAGCTGACATGCATGATGGCAGCCAACCAGAGCATGGTTCAGCGAC